TCGATCCTTAATACCAACGACTTTTTATTTCCTTCTCTTTATTTTGTTTTTCTTTTTTTTTTTTTTTCTTTCTTTTCTTCTTTTTCGTTTTTCCTTTCCAGTGCAAAAATAATAGTGCGTTCCATTTCGAAAATGAGTTAGTTTCAGTGAATAGTGAAGAGATAATATTAGAGTGCTAAATCGATCATTAAAATCGTGGTGACGATAAATCAAAAGAAAAAGAAAAAAAAAAGAAAATAAATTAAATCGAAATATCATGAATCGTTCTTAAATAGTACTAATAATTAAAAAAAAAAAAAAAAAAAAAAAAAAAAAAAAACTGTGATCATTAATTCCGCGGCAATAAATCAGAAAGAAGACAAAAAAAGAAAAAAAGGAGAAAATAAAAAAATAAACAAACAAAAAAGAATATCCAATCGAATCGAAATATTATGTAGACCATTTTTAAGTAATTCCTCATTCTTCATTTTTTGTTTATCTCTTTCTTTTTCTTTCAAGATGACGCCATGGCTGATGGCAATCTTTTGTCTGGCGACGGCAGGCTGTACGAATGTTACGGATCAGCAAACATCAGAAACTACTCACAATCATCAAGTGGCTATCTTGAAACAAATCAGGAAGGTTAATGAAGACGGCTCGTATACTTATGGATACGAGGCTGGCGATGGTTCATTCAAGGTAAAATAAAATATATATCTGACGATTGGCAGCATTGGATTTTTAATGATCGTAAAATTATTTTAATAAGAGTAAGAAAAAGACATTCCGGATGAGATCGGTTGAACGTAAGAAAATTTAGTTATTTTATTTCTTTCTTTTTTTTTTCTTTTTTTTTTTAATAAAATTTAGAAAGAGACAGAGAGAAAGAGAGAAAGAGAGAGAGTTCGTGATATCTAAAAGTTGTATTGTTAGGTCGAGACCCGTGACGTTCTAGGCAACATCAAGGGTACGTTCGGTTTCGTCGACGCCGAGGGTGAAATAAAGAGGGTCTCGTATTCGTCATCTAACGGAACGGGCTTTAAAGCGACGTCCGTATCGCCATTACAGGAACACATATCGGTGGTCCAGAGTATACCACGTGTCAATCGTACCAGTAGTAGCAGCAGTACCAGCAGTAGCAGTACCAGTAGTAGCAGTACCAGTAGTAGTAATATCAATAGCAGTAGTACGACGACGACGAAGAGGCCTAATTTAATGTACGGTTCAACGGAAGCTACGACCAAATCGTCGGTCGTCCAATCGATTCCAAGAACGAGAAAGACAGCGACAACATCGACGACATCTACAACGACACAAACTACAAGTACCGAATCGGCCAAAAATATATTCAATCATTATTTAAAAGGTAATAACAAAAGTAGACCTCGTTTCGTGATAAATGGTCAACAGAGACCAATCGGAGTCGAGGAAGATCCCGAGGAAGTCGAGGATTCACAAATAAATCGTCCAAGTGTTGAAGAGAGAAATAATGGTTATCGTAGAATATTATTTGCCAAACGTCCTGTCGAACAAAATTTAAGACCCATAACCGAGGATTTCGTTGAAAAGGATGATGATCCTAAAATATCGACTGGTAATAATTTAAGACGTCAACTTCACGACGATGTCACCAAAGCGACTATCTCTTCGATGGATAACAATAACAACAACAACAACAACAATAATAATAATAACAACAACGATGAACATTCCGATGTTTACAGTGGTGCTTTGTCAACGACACGGCCTTTATTTACAACTACTACTCCGTCTAGAGTCATTCAACGTATTCCTGGGACGCGTCTCGATAGACCAAAAATATACGTCAATCGAGAAAATTTAGGACCCGTTAAATTCGACGATCCAAAATACGAAAGTCCTAGGGTTTACGAGCCTGAAGCTAAGTCTACCCTCGAAGAACAAACGTCAACTCAGCCGATACTATTACGTGGGCCACCAAGAATATCTGTTGATAATAGAGATTATCTTAGACAGACAACAGAACCGATTTTCGTACGTGGACAGAGTGAATCATATGTTCGAGAATTACAACCGAGAATTTTGTTGCCTGGCCAACAAAATAATATCGAAGAGGAGCCAGCATATAGACATATACCAATTGGTAGAATTTTGTATAGACCTGTTACGACTCAGCAACAACTTTACAGTACCACCACAGATCCCAATGTTCATTATTTAGCGGACAATCCTACGGTCGAAACGGACGACGAGTCACGAATGCCGATAAATCAGAATTACGTCAGACCAAGACCATATTCGAGACCATTGATCTATCAAGAATTGGAAGGAAGGGCTAGACCTATTGTCAGACCAATTCCTCAATCATCAACACCAACTCATCATCACATAGAAGATCGTGAATATCAACAGACTACACCCGATTATGTCTATCGTACAACGCCAATAGCTTTACCACCGGAACCACCAAATCCAATAGCACCACCATTAAGTCGACGAGATTTTCAAATGTTACTTAGACGTTTATTGGTCAGTCAATATGGCGTACAAGCTCTTACTTATCCAAAAACTTATTTGGAGGATGCACTTTATGATCAACAGCCTTATCCTTCTTATCATACGGGATATCAAACACCGATTCCAAGGCCTGATCTTTCTTCTTACGATCAACAAGTAAACATGCAATATGGCGATCGTGTTGCATTGAGACGTCCTCCGGTTTATACAAGAGGATTGAATCCTCTTTATCAAGCACCTCATCAGTACGACGATTATCAAGATGGCAGATTTACACCTAAACGTGTTTATAGACAAAAGTTTTATACTCAAGAGATTAACGACGACGGCGATGAAATTTTACCGGCACCTATCAGAGAGGCATTACTTTTGAGAATGCTACAATTGGCTATTAACGCTGAACGACCAGCCGTTCTACCAAACACAATGATCAGTAGTACGACAACGCCAACTTCGAGATACAGAAAAACTGGTCCAGTTAGAAGCGTACAAATTATTACCGACGAGTCTGACGAAGATAAGGACATCATGAACAAGAAGATGTAACTTACATTTTCTTCTTTCTTTCTTTCTTTCTTTCTTTCTTTTTCTTCATTTCCTTTCAATATCTCGTTTTTACGTCGATACTTCGTTCCTTCTTTGTTGACTCTTTTTTTTTTTTTTCTTTTTTTGAATATTTTCTATCAATCCAGCAGCAGCACCTTCCCACGTCACTCCACAATTGATCAAAAAAATAAGAATAATATAATAATAATAGAACGATAAGATTTCGATCGAATTGATAATTCAATAAATCGAACGAGTTTGCTTTATCGAACGAGTTAAGTATTACATATATATATATATATATATAAAAATCATAGTATCGTAGAAAACATTTCTAATTTAATTCTATCTTTTTATCGTTAGAAAGATTATTTATAACGATTAGACGTGCACAATTGTGCTCCTAGTTATGATTATGTTAATTTCATCCAAAGATTTTCTTATATCTCTTTTTTTTTCTTTTCTCTCTCTCTCTCTCTCTCTCTCTCTCTCTCTCTCTCTCTGTATCTTTCTTTCTATCTCTCTTTTTTAGCTTTTAAAATATCTAAAGTTCAGTGTCCCCCCCTCTTCTTTTCCATATATTGTAAATATACGTTAGGTAAGCTGATGTAAAAGAAAAAGAAAAAAAAAAGAGAAAAAAGAAAAAGAGAAAAAATAAAAAGTAGACAAAAAAAGAAAAAAGAGCTCAAGAACAGAAGGATAGAGGAGGTGAAGGGGGGTGGGGGCGGGGAAGGGGAAAAAAGAGGAGGAAAAGAAATTTGTAATGAAAATAAAAGAATGAAGGATAATAAATAATCGGCCGTGAGAATTCGTTTCGTCATGTGCCTCTTTGCCTTCGAGAGAAAGAGAGAGTGCAATACACACCAAGAGAGAATAATAACACATCTAAGTCTCTTTCTGGGTAATTAGCATCGTCGCGAGTGTTGCAACATCAACGACGTCGGACGTGCCAACGAAACGTTGCGTATATGCATCTACGGTGTGTATGTATCTTTTTCTCTTGGTTTATCTGTCTCTCCGTCCGTCTATCTGTCTGTCCGTCTGTCTGTTTCTCTGTCTCTTTGTATATACGTTTAGTTGAGAACGAGTTAAGACGGAAATCACGAGATCTTTCTTGGATCTTGCTAAATTTATCGTACGAACTTTTTATCGCAATCTTTGGCATCGAACAAAATCGAATTATTTTATATTTCTTTTTTGTCTTTTTTTTTTTTTTTTTTTTTTTTGTAATTCCAATCGACATGTCAAGTAATAAAATTCCTCTGCATGTGCACGCACGTGTGTTTTTGTCACTGTGTGTTTCATAAAAAATAATTGTTTTTTTTATTTTTTCTTTTTTTTTTTTTTTTTTTTCTTCACCTAATCGTATAACATATCCAAAGTGATTTTCATAATCGCGCGGTTATGGCCTCGAAGGAAGGAATTCGATCACAAATGAAAAAGAGAATTTCTGTATGATATGAATATGTATCTTTTCTTTTTTCGTCCGGATATATAAACTCGTGAAAGGCTTTTATTATTATTATCCCGTCGATTTAGACATTCGACAGGATATTAAGACTTCCGGCATTCCGTATAATTCCGGCCCATTGACGTAGAACATTCGAAAAAAAATGTTCACACAGTATATGGCCACGATAACGAGGTGAATCTACCGGTGGGGCGGGACGGGATGGGACAGAACGATGGCGGAGGTGGGTCCGCCGTAGAATTACCTAATTAGGACAAACCATTGCACTCAAGATTTTTCTTTCTTGTGGAAAGTTGACGTACACGTAGACAACAACGATTTATTGTCTCACGGTATATATTACGTCTAGACACATATGTATGTATGTATGTATGTATATATATATATATATGTTTATATCTATGTTTATACATCTATACGTAGAGAATGATATACAGATTTCGCTTGAGCATTTGGCGTTTGATAGAAATGAAAGGATGCAGTTAACGTAGGAAGAAAAAGGAAAGAAAAAAAAAAAATTTTCGTTCATTTTAATAAACAATTAGATATATACAGAAATAATAAGAAATGTCGAATAATTAAGATTGTGAGTGTGTTAATAAGATTTCATTAGGTGATAATTGGTTAATTGCATCAACGTATGCATGTATGTATGTATGTACAATTATCAGTACATGGTACCTATATATACATATATGTATATATATATATATATATATATATATATATATATATATATATATATGAGAGTTATGTGAAAAATCAGGAGATATAATCTCGTGAGAGATTCCTCTTCACGATACTTGATTAATAGAAATCGCTGAGATTTTCGAATGAATCGAGGAACTGCGTGGTAAATTTTTAAGACTTTCGACGTCATCGTCATAAGAATAATGACTGAAGGGTTCGGTTTGTACAGCGACGTCCTCGTAATCGAGCTCAAGTGGATCCTGTTCATAAATAACATCGTGACTACGTGGACGTGCCACCGATGGTATCCATGGTTGTGGTACACCTTTGCCCAATGCTAAAAATACAGCTGCGGTTGATAACAAAACGACCGATGCTACGCCAAAGACCAATCGCCAGGATCCGGCTATCTAAAATTTAGAAATATTTTTTCTCTCTTTTCTTATTTTTTTTTTTTTTTTCTCTTAATATCGTTAGACCCGACAATTTTTTTTCTATCAATATGAAAAATATCAGGTACATGAAATGTCGAGATTTATTTACCGAACCATGAAGAGCTTGGGTGACGAAATAATTAGCAGCCAATAAGCCCGCTGCACCTAAAGTGGAACAAAGGGCACAGGCTGCTGCAGCACAGGCCGGTGATTCGGCTGGTGCAAGATCAGCTATGGCAGCAAGTGCACCGGCCGGTGCTGTACCGGACACCAAAAGTGCCGCAATACCTAACCAGGCTGCACCTAACGCCTGACAACCCGCGTATCCTGCGACGAAGAGTAATGCGGCCGGTATGAAATGAGCTACGAAAGAAATTACAATATATTAGTTATAAATCATTATGTAATATTATTTTTTTTTTTTTAAATATATTTAAACTTAGAGATTGATCCAAGATAAAGATGATAACGTTCAGCTAGATAACGAAAGATAATTAAATTCTATGAACGTTTTGGGCGATGGCGTTGAAAAAAGTTGGCGAACAAAAGAAACAAAAGAAAAAAAAAAGAAAAAAAAAAGGAAAAAGGAAAATGAAAAAAGAAAAAATAACGCGAGGTAAATCAATTCTCGTTGTTTGTTACTCGTTATTTTAATACGATCAAAAAAAATATATTGTCAAGTTGTTGAATAATATTGACGTACCGGTATAAACGACCAATTTTCTTGCTGTGGTCGTTGATACGATTCTAGACTCGCGAACGTGATCAACCAATAGACCACAAGTTAAAGCAGCCATGAAGTGTCCAATGTGAGGTAAAGTAGTCAATACCGAGTCCTATGAGAAAAACTTATTTAATATTACGATATCGATCGTACGCGTTTGTTAGACATATGTGTAAGAAAAGAAAAAAAAAAAAAAAAAGAAAAAGGCAAATTAAAAGAAAAAGGAAAGAAGGAAAAAAAGTAAAAAAAAGAAAAAAAAAAACAAAGACAAATAAAATAAAAAAAATGTAAAAATCCTCAAAAAAAAAAAAAAAAAGAAAGCTCACGTTAGCCGTAGAAAATCCATATATGAGTTTTAAATATTTCGTCATTCCAAGGGCGAGTGTAGCGTCGCCCCATTGATTTCCCATAGTCGCCACTGCTGATGCCCAAACCGGTACGGATCTTAATAATTTTCCCCAAGGAATGACAGCGGCCTATAGACATTTTTTTTTTTTTTTCTTTTTTTAACCACTATGACAATATAAACATCGTCGAAGATTATGAAATATATTCTTACATTAGTATCGTGCTGATAAGATTTCGGTGTATCCTTGACGAATCTACCAAAGGCAAAATACCAACAAAGTGCTAAGAATACCAAACCGTAACAGAGTGAATCACGTCCGAATGTTCTAACCACAGCTGTACCTATCCAACCGGTTAAACAGTATCCAACGCTGACAGCTTTTGAAAAGGAAAAAGTTATTAAGTACTATTACATCGTAACTTACGTTCTATTACGATCTATTGATTATTATTATTTTGTTCAATTCAATTAATTACCGGCGTAACAACTGAAATACGAACTCCTATGATTGCTCTTAAACCAGGTCATAGCTAGCATGTGAGCAGCTGGCATGGTTGCGCCCTGTATAAAGTAAATAACGCGATTGATTGATTAGAAGAGAGGAAAAAAGAATAGGAGGGGAGAGGGAAAGAAGAAAAAAAACTAAAAAAAAAAAAAAAGAAAAAAAAAAGGAAGATTCATACGTGTAACTCACGGTACAAAGTCCTTGAAAGAGACGAAGTGCAACGTGGGATGGTCCTCTCCAAGCTGCTGGTACCAATAACGATGCCAAACAGGCACTTAATACCGCTCGAGAAAATACCATCGATGGACCTGATCTACCCCAAACCAAACAACCTCCTAATATTGGTCCGGCCACTTGACCCCATAAAAATGCTTCTCGCATTATCGATTCCGTTCTTTCTTCCGGTGGTAGCTACAAATCGATGATACAATTGTTTTAATATTTTTAATGGCAATGCTTTTCTTTCTTTTATTTTTTCTCCTTTTCTTTTCCTCTTCTTCTTCTTCTTTTTTTTTCTTCGGAAAGTTCGACATTATCTTCCATCTAATTTTCGTTCTAATGATATCACACGCAAAATGAAAGATAAATCAAACGAAAGAAATAACAACGAAGAGTAAAGATGTACGATGGCAAAGTGAAAAATGAAAATGAAAATAATTGTTTTTGTTGTGTCAGCCAAAAAAAAAAAGAAAAACAGAAAAAAAAAACAGAAAAAAAAAAACAAGAAAAAAAAATACGCGCGTCTAGAATCTTTTTCAATCGTTTCCATTTTAAATACAATTAATTGTTTGAATACGATTGATTCGACGAAATTATTAATATTAATTCGATGACATTGGAATGATAAAAGATATATTTGAAATGATTTTTTATAGCTTTATTGATAAAATAATTTCTATTGATTGATACGAATGAATGCGTTTACCTCCAATAGGATAACTTCAAAGTCCTCCGTACGATTTCGGCTGCTGATATTGACGAGCATGTCACAGTGCCAGGACGTGTCGATGATAGCATGATTGTCCTCTTGTTTGGCCAATAATGCAACGGACGAGCTTACTTCGACTGCACCGCACAATGCAAATCCCATTGCCACTAATGCAGCAACGATATGACGTGCTCTGACAGCAGCTAAAACGAAATACAGGACCTCCTTCATTTCCGTACCTTTTTTCATCGTTTCTTCCATTTTATTTTCTACTTATTATCATTTATCTTTTATCTTTTATCTTCTATTCCGAAGTCTCAGTCAATTCTTTTTTATTTCTAATTTTTTTCCCTGTCCTGTGCAAGTCCTTGCTTTTCTTTTTAATTTATCTCGTTCGTCTCTTCAATCACTTTTCATTTATTCTTAATCTTTTTTCTTCCTTTTACAATTTTTCTTTCACTTCACTCGTTTATCCCATTCATTCTCTTCCCCTTCGTTATTTCATTTATCTATCTTAATTTTTTCTTCCTTTTCAATATATTTTCTATATTTAAAAAAAGAATACTCTCTCTCTCTCTCTCTCGTACTTTTTATCTTCTTTTTTCTCTCTTATGTTCTTGTTTGTTTTTCTTTTTATTTTTTTATTTTTTTATTTTTTTATTTTTTTTTTTATTTGCACACCCTACTTTCCTCTCCGTCTCCTTTTCTTTTCTTTTTTTTTTTTTGTTTCTTTTTCTTTTTCTTTTTTCTTATCTTCTTTTTTTTTTTCTTTAGTGTCTCGATTTATTTACTTCAATTTAATGTTTCCTTTTTTTCTCTTTATTCATTCAAATCCATTCTGCCATTCTATTTTATCAATCTTTTTTTATTTTCTATAACCCTTCCCTCTGATTTTTGTTTTCTTCTTTTCTCTTTTTTTTCTTCTTATATTTATTTATTTATTTATTTATTTATTTATTAATCAAATTATATATACGAATTTGAATTATTACACGGATATGGATATATATATATATATACATATATATATATATATATATATATATATATATATATATATGAATCGAACACGACGAATTTTCTCTTGATACTTTTACCACGAGTTTGACTATACAAAAGAAACGTTATTATTATACTCACTTTTAGCATACGTTATGTACCGCAAGTAGGTATAAAGTAAGTTTCCCACGTTATCGCGTTTTCCAAACAAAATCTATAAAGTCTTTGTGTTTGACTTTGATAAAGCATACGTACGTCGCGCGTCTTTCAGTCGCGACTATATTATGATTTCAGTTAGCGCGATTGGCGTGTGGTTAAAAAAAAAAGAAAAGAAAAGAAAAAAAGAAAAAAAAAAAAAAAGAAAAGGTAAAAAAAAAAGGAAGAAGAAAGGAAAGAAAAAACGACAAAATTAAGGAGGAAAAAAGGGAGGAAAGAAAAAAGAAGAAAAAAAAGAACCTTCGCACTTTCTTTTCTACCTCTCAGCGTACAATCTAGTAATAATAATTTCGTGCAATCTCTGACATAATCAAAAAAAAAAAAAAAAAAAAAAAAAAAGGAACGTTTCAATGAAGGCACCAATTGTTACATAAAGCTATATAAAGCGAACGTATATTATTTTGCGAATTCAAAGTACAAATATGTCTCTATGATACCTCTGATTATGTGTTTTCGAAAATTTCACTTCTTTTTTTTTCCTCTTTCTTTTTTTTGTCTTTCTTTCTTTCTTTCTTTCTTTCTTTCTTTCTTTTTTTTTTTTTTTTTTTTTTTTTTATCTTAAAAAAACAAATCGTGAATATGAACGAGAGGAAAAAAAAGAACAAGAAGGTGGAAGAAAATTGTTGACATTCCTTATATATATATTTATATATATATACATATATATATATATATTATATATATATATATATATATATATATATATATATATATATATATATATTTATATATATATACATATATATATATATATGCGTACATACACATCAGAGAAAAATTTCAAGTGTGAAAAATGAATGTGAGAAAATATTTAAGGATAAATAAAGAGAGAAAGAGAAAGAAAGAGAGAAGGGAAGAGAAAGAGAAAGAGAGACAGAGATAAATAAATACTAAATGAAAATGAAAGTGAAAGAAAGAGAAAGAACGAACCTCGAACCTCCTTAGCGGCATGTTTTATTTGGATACTTCCGCGTTTAACGAGCTGAACGCTACCTCTCTTTACGATGTCTGCCATCTCACAATATTCTACGTAACTCAGAGTATTGGATCGACATCTTCCTCTTTCTTATCGCTCTAACGTTTCGCATTTTTTCTTTTTTTTTTTTTTCATTTTTGTCTTTTTTTCATCCAAAGATAGGACTATCTCTCTCTCTCTCTCTCTCTCTGGCACTAATATATATATATATATATAAATGAGAGAGATGATTAGAGAACATATTAATATATAGATATTAGACGACCTCGACTTTGATTCGGTAAATGTAATGTAATTACAAATAGACGTAACCTTTTCAAAGAGATAACGTTCGTACGTATCTATCGATTCTATTTCTTTCTATTTGTTCCATTTTTATATTACTCTTTTTATCTTTCTTCTATTTTCCTTTTTCTCTTTCTTTCATTTTTTTCACCTCCTTCATCTTTCCCATAAACGCGAGTTTAAAAAGTAGATTTAAATTTACCGCATAAACGATTATATATTTATATATATATATATATATATATATATATATATATTTTTTTTCTTTTTTTTAATTTCAATTCAATTTGTATTATTATATTTTGCTTTGTTTACTTTGTTCGTACGTTCATTTGTTTATGTTTTATTTTTTTTTTTTTTTTTTTTTTTTTTTTGTAAATATCGAACTCGTAATATAAACTTACCTTTCATCTCGAGTGCCGCGTGTCTCAATTGAACGCTACCTCTTTTAAGACGTACAAGGGCTGCCATGATGATCATCGAATTAACAATTTCATCGATAGACCTTTTCCCATCTTATAATAATTATAATCTATGAGCATTTTTATCGCTTTTACTATTTTTTCTTCCACCTTGATCCTTCCCTTTATACCTTCTTACTTTTCACTATGTTACGAAAGAACAATCCGATTGGTTCGAGTTATTCAAACTATACTGAGCTTTTTATTGCCAGTACCAGAGTGAATGAACGTCTCTGTTAACAAGACTTGATACAATAAGTACCCATGCTGGGTCAGCCTTGAAACATCGTTTCATAGGACAGGCATCGTAATGTTCACGTACGTTCATTGCACACTCGTATATTTCTAAACGCAATATTAGATATTACTCAGGAAACATTACTTTAATTCTATCTTTAAATGATGATATATTTATCATAGAATGTACTATATATATACACTTATATATATAAATATACATGTAAAGATATAATAATGTTGAAGTCTTTCTTTCTTGCATATGTACTCGTTTAAATGTTCACGTATTTATAATGAAAAATTAAATGATTAAATAAATGAAAAATTGTCAATAATTGAACGATTTAAAAATATTTATTGTAAACATTTATTGTTATCATTTTATATTTCAAAGCATCGTTCTATTGCAATTATAATTGTCAATGAGTAAAGATACCGAAGATACATGAAATATATATATATATATATATATATACGTATTTTCGTAATCGACAATGATCGATAATTATCTACAGAGACAATGTTGATAACATCGTGATAAACAAATAATGTCGATAATCTCAGTCGATAATGAAGAATCGATAAACGCTGATCGTTTATACCGACGATAAGTAATTACCGACGATAAGTAATTACCGACGATAAGTAATTATCGACGAATACTTACCGACAATCATTTGATCAATTATTACCGACAATGATATATACGTATTATTTAGACATATTTCTATATACATATGTATATATATATATACATATAAAAGTTTAATAACAGAATATTGTGTTACCGAAGACACGAGATGGCAGCACTTAACATACATATACATATATATATATATATATATTTTTTTTTTTCGTCACCTTTCATTTATTTAATTATCCATTTTATTTTACAATATCTCTCGTTATAATCAAATTAAACGATATAATCAAAAAAAAGGAAAAAAAAAAAAGAAAAAAAAAAGAAGGAAAAGTACAATTAGATGGTAAAAGGTAAAGATCGTAATATGAAAAGCTTTTGACGTAATCCAATAGATATCGTGTGTACATGAATACGAAACGTAGAATGGTGGGGATGAACCACAAAGTTCGTAGGCTTCTCGAGAGTGCGTTGTGATTGGTCGGCTCGGCTGGTGCAGGTCAAGCGGCAGGATACACATCGGTTCGTCGTTTGTCATACACGGTCGAAAGCGCAAGAACGATATCCCGCGCGTCTCGCGAATTACAGAGAATCCTATATATTTATATTTCTATCTGACTCGATTAATAAACGATATTTATCTAATTTTATCTTTGAAGTAATATATATATATACATATATACATATATACACATATATATATATATATACAGAACGATAGATACCAACGTTTATCAAAAGATTTTACGTGTGAATCGAAAGAAAAAAAAAAAAAAAAAAAATACGGATTAGTACGTCCCAACGTAGTCTCTCCTCTCACTTCGGCATTACGACGGCGTGCTTGTATATATACGTTTACGTTTGTCCCTATCTAGTACGTGTGCGTGAAGTTTATCTGTGTGTATATATATATATATATTATCAAGTATGTGTGTATGTGCTGTTTTATCTCAGGAGTGAATTTATTAAAGTTTACGAAGTGCAGGATTATGTGACTGACGATCAACGGCCAGCGGGGGGGCGGGGGGCGGCGGCGGCGGCTGCTTTGACGAGTGGAAGACAGACACCTTGATCGAAGAGAAAAGAGAAAGAGAACGAACAGTTGGGAATTTCTTAAAGTGAGAGAAAGAGAGAGAGAGAGAGAAAGAAGACGAAATAATTTCGAGGTAAGGCATTAATTGTTATCTCATCGATGCATGTGTTTCATTTTAACTTTGAGGTTAAGAAGAAACTTTAAACGTTTCTTTCTTAATACATATATGTTTGTATATATCGTTGATCTCCTTTTTTTTCTTTTTTTATTTTTTTTTTATCTACATATGTAAGGGCCATCTTTTTATGTATATATATAATATATATATATATATGTGGCTTCCTATTTCTTTCTCTTTCTCTCCCTGTAACAAGCATAGTGTCCTTTTCTTTCTAGGAACTCTTTTCCTGTATACCGGCGTCTCTCTCTCTTTCTCTCTCTCTCTCTCTCTCTTTTTCTTTCTCTCTTTCTTTTTCTCGTGTTCTCTTTCTTTAGTTCCTTCCTTCTCTTTCTCGCTTCTTCTTCCTTCTACCTTTTTGGAATGCGCACACGGGGGGTCCGGAGGTTCACGTGCAACAGGTCTCTCTCTCCCTAGCGAAAGTTTCAAGAGAGAGCAAGAAAGAGAGACAGAGAGAGAGAGAGAGACGTACTTACATATGTATCTGCCTTATAGTTCTAACGGCTCACTGCTACGATTCTTTGGACCATTCGAATCTTCTTCGTATATTCTTAGATGAAAATCCTTATATATATATGTATATGTATATATATATGTATGTATATATGGACAT